TGTCTTAACCATTTTATCTTTGACAAGGGACAACTGTATTGATCGTTAGGCATCATGTGCGTTGCACGTATGCACGTAATTTTTTGAACAAAGCGCTGTCCTATGCTTAAGGTTTGTTACAAAGTAACTTTTATGAAATTGCAACGACGCATTAACTTTGTTCATTTATTTATGCAAATGGAAGAATGCAAAAATAGTTTTTCTTCACTCAATTGTTATTGATGACACCGCTACTTATTATACTTCTACTTTCAGTAGCTGCTCACAAAATGCATTCATTCACCACAGTGCAACCTCTTATCTAATTCAACACCTAACATTAAAAGAAGAGTTGGAAAAATATATTTGTAAAGAGAACCATCGCGTCACCGAAATATCGAGTTCAGCCAAAGTTTAATTTAAATATTGATGTAAATTAATACTGTCAATTTTTTTTCTTTTAAACACTAATGTATATTTGTTATACGCATATGCAGTCTGATTGTGAATGGCAATTAATTGACAAACACTTGATTTTTTATGTGTAAGTCACAAGACCTTCAGTTTGGGTATTTGGATACTGATGAGCTAGTTACCATGTCACAATGCGTATACACAATGAAACTCGAAGGTGGTGTCCGACTTATCGAGGAATCCGAGTTATCGAAGAACCAATAGGGTTCATCGTAACACAATTTCCTTTAACATATTATTTTTGGTCTTCATTAAAGAATTGGGAAATCAGATTTTTTGAATAATAAATGCGTTGTTTCGAAGTATAAATAATCGTAGAATGATATCATCGATGAATATCTTATGACGTACAATACATTACAAAACCGTCTTTTCTAAATTATTATCAATGATATAATAATAACGAGGTATAAACAATTTGTTTTATAAACCATCAAATAAAAATTATCAATGGTATAACGAGTTTTTTAAATTACAGAAATGGTCTCGATGACATAACAACAACAACAACAACAACAACAACAACAACAACAACAACAACAACAACAACAACAACAACAACAACAACAATAATAATAATAATAATTAATAATATTGTTTGCGGCTTATGAAGTGTCTGTCCGGAGAGGTTGTCCGATTTACAGCTTAATACGAGTTATACATGTCGTTCGACTTATCGTAAATATGAAAAAAAGGGGAGCTGAGAGATTTTGTCCAGTGTTCGACTTATCGAGTTTCACTGTGTATTTTGAAACCGACCCATAATTCGCACCAATTAAATGCTATATACCAATTTTGGGTTATGCCAAGGAAACGAAAAAAGAGGCATGGAACGTAACAAAGAATTATGTAACGTTCTACGTTAATATGCTTGTCGTATACAAAACCGCAATGGGTTTGAGTGGCAGTCAAAGGTGTGAACGAAAACAGCATATAAAGAACCCTAATCGTCGTAGCTACTGACTATGACTTATGACTGATATTACTGCCCTGACTGCTCGTCCCTTCCCACACCCCTCTCTCCCCTCCCCCTCACCCCCCACCTCACTCCTCCCCATCACAAAGACTCTTAAGCATCATGGCATACCGTTACGGACATTATTAGACATTAACCAGAAATTAATAGTCGACAGGACAGGCGGTCAACCGCGAATCAAATATGAAGAAAAGTTATCTGTACGAGAAAACAGATAATATCACAAAGACAATGTTCAAATCGACGGTAAAGCAATCGTTGAAGAACAACCAGAAGAAGAGATACAATCGACGGAATTAAGCGAAGCAATAAAAAGTGACACGCCAACGTCGTTAAAGATAATCTCATAAACGAAACCATACGTCAGACGAATTGTTATATTAATGAAGACAATCGAGCGACGGCATGACAAAAACGAGTTACACCCAAGCCTTTGAGAATAAAAAGTTAAGCGAGGCTTTTACTATTAATATTAAAAGTCGACATAGCAGAAACGATAAAAAGTTATTGACCACAACGAGCTGTAAATAACTTTGAGCAGAAAAACGTCAAAATAAGAGTCTTAATTACCGAGACTTGGATATTAATAATAATTTATTATGCATAAGCGGAGCTTTACGAATTTTAAACATAAAGCAAACAAATCTCAACTGTAAGCTACCATGTAAAAATAGGATTATCATTTCCTCGTCATCACCTATTCTATTGCAATTGTAATAATAAGATTTTTCTCGGCTCCTGTATGTTTAATGTTAATAAATTCTGTTTGTAATACCAAGCAACATTTATCCAAAGTCTCATATTACAGTGTAATTAATTTTTGCAATTATATATACTCAGTTTTTTAAGACTGCTGGCTTACTCGACAATTGGCAATCAGTTTTCCAATAAATAATAACGCGCACAATAAAATATTACTAGCGATTGTTTTGGGTAATATTAACGCGTTAAGCCACCCAAGAATATTAAATTGCCAATTTTTACAAACTCGCGCTTCTCCTTCGTGTCCTAAACCCAGGCTTACCTCTAGAAATTAACAATGGCAAGTTAATTTGCATTATAAATTTGCTCAAAAACTACAGTGTTGCCGCGTGTTTACGCATTGTCCAGGGTTATAAAAAAGTATACATAACTGGAGAACGGTTTATTTCCGATGAAAAACTTTCAACGTATAAAATTTTGTAATACAAAGGTTTGCCTTTTCTAGTACTTATTGCAAGTGTATAAATTGGTTCAAAAGCTCAATCTTCAAATAGAATTAGCGCGTGTGCTGTGATTGGACATTAAAGTAAGGTGTTGACTTTGCTACAATAAACAAGTTGCTACAACAATACTTCCCACCTAAACAAAGGATTTGGTTATAATTATTTTAGATGTGATTTGAATATTTGATAGAATTTTGCCTGCTTTATTATTATGCCTGACCATGTGATCATAAGCATTTAGCGTGTGTGGTAAGCGTTTAGCCCACGTCTGAAATAAAATAAAATGTATATACTCAACTTATTTGCATTGTGGATAGAAGACGTACATTTATTAAACGTGTCGTTTTGAGGTTGAGATCGGTGCGAGTTAAAACCAAATAATCGTGTAAGACGTTAAAAAATCTGAAACAACCAGAATGATGGTTTATGTTGCGACCTGTTCTGGGATTTGACCCATTCTGAGGACGGGTCAACCCGTTTCAAGATTACCGAATTCATCTTGCGTGCGGGGCTTTCGGTTTCTATTGAAAAGTCAAATCACCCGCAGCCGACCCCGCAACACGTCATTCACACAAAAAACATTTTTTTAAAAACTATATCTTTGGAGCCTATTATGTACGCTCCCCCGAAAAGGTTTCGGCACACCGCAACCGTTTGCCAACATGAAGACATTGCCGAGAAGAAGGAAGAGGCCAAGGGATTACTGGAATACGGGCGGTTGTTGTAGTGCTGACGTAATCGTATATAATAAGCTTTGTTTATTAAATAAAAATACAATTTCGGACATGTTGTTTAAATGCAATCAGTTCAAAGAACGTTGTTGTGATCTATTTGGAAATACTGTACGTTGATAAAAATCGCTAAGCGCGAGTGCATAGTGTTTATGAGTCATATTCATAGCTGCAGAGTGTTTTCAGAATATGCTGTTTATCAATAGACTTTAAGAGCACACTCGCATTGTAAGTCCGTGTGGGAGGTTCTACCAAAGCGGAGTAGTTTATGCCACAGGTGTCACAAATCAATTAAGTGCCATAGCATAGTTGTTATAGCTTGTTTCGGAAGTAAGCAACTTGGCAGTCATACGGGGGCTGGAATGACGAAAATAGCAATTTAAAGTCACATACAGTTTGAGTTAAAGCTCGTGGCTAGTAAAAATATTTATTATGACCGCAGTTAAATTAAAAGCAAAGAAAGCCTTCACAAAAGATTAAGAGTACAGCAAGCTATGATAAACGCTTCATTATTGTATTCGTTATTTGATTTAGAAAGAAGCACTCATTGTTAATGTCATTATTAACCTAAATTTGTTTTCATACTATTGTATTGGTAATATCATTCCTACTGAAAGATGTATGAGCAAGTCACCGTCTATGGTTACCCTGTCATCGTGCCACTTGCACAAAATACTGTTGCAGGAAATGAACTTGATGAATAGCATTATGACACATATTAAAATTCTGACTGGTTCTGTAAGCGTTGGTCGCGTAATTTCGGCGAAATAATGTATATTAATATCGGTTTAGCAATTCTTTGACAGTAATAGTAGATAGAATGGGATCGGCGGGGTTCGGATTCGGATATTCTCCGGCCGGGTCTCGCTGGCTTTGTCTCCGTGCCTGTTGCCAGAGGGTCAAGGGTACCCGCATGACCGACTTTTTTAATATTTAGTTTTTGGCGAATAATATTAATAGCTTGGTGGGAAGTTAAACCAGTTGGTTTATCGATTAAGAGTATACCATCCATAAAAATATTTATAGTAAGCAAGCAAGGATCTTTAGCCAATCTAATTTTTAAGGTTGGTGAATTCTTCTAATTTTGGATCTCCTCTTCAAACTGTTAAAAATTACTGGCAAAAATAGTTTAAGTCAGCAAGAGTTAAATAGTGTTCTCGCTGCTGACAACACTGCTTCAAGTTCTCCCTTCGCAGCACATTATTCGAGGTTTATTATTTTCACAAGTAGCAATAATAATACCAAAATCGGCTTTGTAACTAGCCATATCATTTTCTCTTTTTTTAAATCGGAGCGGTTATTTTCAGAGTTAACAAAGAAGCCTTTTCAATCAATCATAATCATCCTCACGTTTGCCTATCCCTCCGAAACGCCGTATTTGTGTATAAACCAGCTTCAACGGTCAATGAATGGATTGGTAAGTATTTTTTTTCTGCTTGAAGTTTCAATCAACTCGTTGTCGTTAATCGTTTGTGACTGTGTTCGACTTATCATTATTAATAGCCTCGCTTGATTGTTTATTCTCAAAGGCTTATCTTCAATGACTTCGTACAACTTCCTTGATGATGGAGTCGCTCGATTTCAAATTCGTCCGACTTATGGTCGTTATCATTGACCTGTCACTTTTTAGAGCTTTCAATTGGCCGCCAGGATATGCAGCTCTTCTTCAGTTGTCCGTTCTTTCAACCTGCCATTGTAAGTGTTATTCGATTCCTCAACTGCTTTGCCGTCGATTGGACGTTGTTTTATCGACTTTGTAGCTTTTCTCGAGCTTTTCCATGGAAATCTCTGATTTCGTTCGTCTAATTCCTTGATCTGTTTTCATGAAAGATGAGCCGTCACTTCCTCAATCTGGTCGACTTTGTCCGCAAGCTCTTCGAACTCACGCTTTTGTTTTGCGCACTGGCTGCAGCTGGCGCTTTTTCTCACTACTAGGGCCACCCGCATTATAGGTGTCTTCCCAGTAAGGTCGTTTGATGTTGTTTTTTGTTTTTACGAGAAAATTTCATGTTGTATGTGTGCGTGTTGTGTGTGCGTGTTCGTGTGTGTGTGTTCGTGTGTGCTTGCGTTCGTGTGTGTGTGTTGGTGTGTGATTGTGTGTGTTTGTGTTGAGACTTCATTCTTTAACAGAATACGTTCGGTATTACGTCGTCATATTGCGTTCAATTCTACGATAGCTCCGCTGTCTCTATCAACGACTGTCCTTCTTCGTTTCTATAGCGAGTGTATCGATAACGGAAATCGTCATCATATTCCCCATCATCTATCTGCTCCGTACTGAGAAATATGTTCAGAGACATAGCGACATGGATCGTACTGCCGCATGGGTGGCGGAGATGCAGACAATAATGATTTTGGTGGGCCTGCTGTGAGGCTGCTTTTTGATTTTTTGGATGAAACTCCAACTCCGCAGTGTCTTCGATAATTGAATTTATTGGCTCGTGCTATAGTTTGGTTTACTCTGTGATGTGACTCTTTGGAACTGCAGGTAACGTCTTATCTACTCGAAGGTTGTTTGTGACGGGCGGAATAGGCATTCACCTCTTTGGTATCGTTGACGTTGCAGCCGTTATCGCATTCCCCTTCGCTAACAGATGCCTTCTAAGTCATCTTTCTCCCAAACATGGTGACCTTCTTTTTCTTGAAAGGCATCTTGCAGTGTTTGTTGCGCCCTCGGCTTTTCTAACCGCTCCAATAGCCCACTTTCTAACATCCACTTCACATATTGTTCTGCATTTCTTCTTTTCTTATCTACATGAGCTTTGAGCTTTTCGTTGTCTTTTTCGCCCAGCTTGGTAAACCTAACTTCCATAACTCTCATATCGAAGAAGACAAGCATATTACTAGCCAGCCGTGAAGCTGTAGCGGATACTGCAGGCTGTATTATGCTGGAAGATACTTCAGCTAGTGGTCTTCATGCTGTACATCGAATTGCAAGCGCAACGAGAAAGATTTTCTCATTCTTAATATATCCAAAAACGAGCCATCACAATTGAGGTTGTCGGGTGCTGAAGCTTTAACATGTGTCGCACCGAGCTGGTGCATTGTGTGGATATTAACGACGCTGTCTCATAATGTACTTCTTTTCGTTTATTATTATATAGCCGGGCAGAATTCAATTCAGCTCCACCCGTATGGGGGCGGGCGCCGAGGATATACCGAACCAGAATCACCAGATAATCTCTTTTATCATTTTACTATGCTTAACACGTGAATTGACATTCCCGGCAAGCATTTCTATTTCTATAATATATGAGCACGACACGCAAGAGAATCATGTCTTAACATATGAGAATGAGAATATACATTATTATTATTATTATTTACACGAACCATTATCTTAAAAGTATATATCTTAATGTCAATAAGAAAATTAGACGGTGAACAATTAACGAACATGTACAGTGATAATAATTAATCCTTCAATGGTGATTTGGCCAAGTAAAGCTTTATCCTTATTGAGCAAGTTCAAACGTAACATAATCTTTGTCTTTAGCGCACACAACTACAAAGTGTATGTAGATTTATAATGACCAACTATTTGCCTCAACAGGGTCAAATATCACGCCCTACTATTGCAGTCTGATAATAGTGTTTCAAGCGACTTTATTTGAGTTAGTTAATACGCAATTTTTTTGAGAAAAAAAAATATATTATAAAAAAATATAACGAGTAAATACACATCTCCGAGAACCAAGTCCAATACTATCTCTTGGCACGGCATGAATCGGAGTTTGCTCAATGGCATTTTCCCTTTCCGTCCATCCATTCAAACGGCGACGTGACTGCGGATAAATTTTAAAGCAAAATGACGTTTTTTTTTTCACCCCATTCATAAGCACTTGCGTTATCGGCTGTCTAAACTAGACTTGATTAAATGCAAAATGACGTTTTTTTACCCCATTTATGAGCACTTACATTATCGGCAGTCCAAAATAGACTTTATTGAGTGCACTGCCAACAAATTTTAAGCAAGGTGGCGTTTTCTTTTCGTCCATTTACATTGTCTGTTATCAAAATAGGGGGTCAACAAAGGTGCAGAAAATATAGAACAACATTCAATAATCTTGTAATAGGTCAAGCCTTTTATTACTCTGTTCATACATCGAACGCTATTTCATTGTTCCATTTGCTTCTTTTTCACAAGTAATTCTTTATCCGTGGATAGAAAAATTACACTTCGTTTATTAGTCAATTGTTAATTGTAGAGCAAACTTTATTCACAGCGTCTTTTCGATCCGCTTTCACAGGTAGATACCATCAGGCATCTAAAATGGGACAATAAAGTCCCTTTGCACGACTTGCGTTTGTTTGATGACGTTATTCACCTTACTATTACGTGTTGCACATTGACTAACTCTGTCCGGAATGATCCCACCACCGTAGCACAGATCCCTGAACACGAAGGTTAATGCATAATGTAAATGAAGTTGAGCTAACGCTAAGCCCCATTCCAAAGTGTTACACATCCACGAATACCATTTCTTTGTCTACACTAGAAAAGAAAATATTTCGGATAAATGCATAGCTTTCTTACTGAAAATTCTAATTTCTAATGGGTGAATAATTGTTTACTCTATAGAGCTGAACATATAGTAATACATTCGCAGATAATTATTATAAACAAAATTTATATTATTAAAAGTTGCAATTATTATTCATCACGGATTGGGATTTTAATTTTACGCATTATAAACGTTGTCAGAAGAATGGTTAAATTGTTAATTGTCACAGTTCATATTCTATTG